AAACCCGTAAACCCTAAAACCCTAAGCCCCTAAACCCTAAAACCCTAAACCCCTAAACCCCAAAACCCCAAAACCCCCGATCCTGACCCTTGCAGACCTCCTCCCAACCCTAGGCTCGAACCCCCCCCCCCTCCCCGGCTCCAGTACTCGATAGCCCGTAGTAGTTCTCTAAGAAACCCTAAACCCTAAACCCTAAACTCTAAATCAGGGTTCCTTTTAGGGTTCTTTAGAGGGATCTTGAAGGGTCTACATAAGGGTACTATAAGGGCCCCAGCCCTGAATCACTGAATGAGTTTAAGGGTTTAGGGTTTAGGGTTTAGTTACGGCTTGGGGCTTAGGCTAGACGTACAAGTTTAGGGTGTTACTCCCCGATCCCCTAAAAGATCGAGCACTTATACAGGCCCGCCTTGTTCTCACCGACGACACACTGGTTGGTGATCAGGATGTGGCCGCGAGCTCAAACTGTCCAGCATCAGCGAACTTTGTGTGTAGCCTATGATTAGGTTTACAGTAAAAGGTGGCTAACCCCAAATGGCCCAAAGAGGTTTTTTTGAACGCCTACTTACCAAAAGACTCTTGAACCTTTAAGAAGTGGACAGTTGCCTTACATCCTAAACCCCACAAAAGCCCAAGAACCCCCACTCCGGAATCAAGTGAATGCAGGATCCCGTGGCGACTAGCGGCCCAGGGTGCGGAGGTTTAGTCTCACGGGGTTTAGGGGTATAGGGCTCAGTATAGAGGGATCAGACAAAAGAAATCGTGTCTTTGTCAAGGGGCTCCATTCGTTTCCAGCTGGATGTTTTTTGGCTTTAGGGTTTAGGGTTTACTGTCATCTGTAGGGTTGGGCTTGAAGGAGTATTGAAGGGGGTTGGCACCGCTCTCCAAAACTGGAGAGCATTGGGAAAGGTGTAAGTAGGCATTGGCGTCGTTAAGACGATCTGGCTCCTAGGTAGTAATTATTAGGGAGACCCCTGAACGGGGACCCCTCTTAATTATATTTATAGCTCTGTTAAGGGGGACCTTAATGAGAGGGTCTATACCCCATCCCCCTAATCCTAACAACTCCTAATAGCCTAACTCCTCTTTCGGTTTTTCAAGACGGCGCTGAATGCGGTTTGTTTCAGTCCTAGACTCTAGACCTTCTGGAGCCAGCATCGCACGTCCTCCTCAACCCTAAAACCCTTTACCCTATAAGAAAGGGGCCTTCATAGGGATTCGGGGCATGTTATACGTAACTTCTAGACATGAACTTCAAAGCTCGACTGGCTACTTTCTGAGTTGTACGTTCTTGTTGGTTTATGGTTATCTGAACCCTAAACCCTAAACCCTAAACCCTAAACCCTAAACCCTAAAACCTAAACCGTGATATCTGTTACGAGGGGATCTCCGGAACGTCGCTGTTTTGCTAGACTTTCTTAGACGGGGAAGCTCTAGGCCTTGCCTTCACCCACCAGAACCTACTTTTTGTAGAGGTTTTATGAATTCCATACTAGGTTTACAATAAGAACATTAAAAAAATGGTATAGGGTATAGGTTAAGGCCTAAACCCTAAAAGCCTAAACCCTTAAGTCCTAAACCTAAGGTGAAGACTCTATAAATCCTCAGCCTCTCAGGATTTTGTCGGCATCTGCCGCGTCTTTTCCGGCACACTGCGGCCCAACAGCCGCGTGTACATCGGTCAGGATAAGCCCGACGAGCAGGACCGATTTAGGGTTTAGGGGTTTAGGGCCGAGACCGCAGGGCAGGGGCTTGAGTTTTTGGAAGATTTGTTTTAAGGTTCAGGGTTTAAGGGTTTTGGACCACTTACTACTTCGAACATTCCTTTGGGGTGAAGCGGGCGGATGGCTGTCTTATGGAGTTGGAAGAACGGTGAGGAGATATCTTATGCTAAAAACCCTAAACCCTAAACCCTAAACCCTAAACCTGTACATGGAGTCATGACATAGAGACTTAAAGGGGTAAGCTTACGATCTATTCAGGCCCGTGCACTCCCTAAAATCACAGATGCCCACTTATACCCATGGTTTCAACCCTAAACCCTAAACCCTAAAGCCTAAACCCTAAACCCTAAACCCTAAACCCCTAAACCCTAAAGCCTAAACCCTAAGTTTAGGCTTTGGGGTTGCAGCTTTAGGGTCGCAGCCCGAAGCTCTACCTAGAACCTGTTCCCTCCCACGTCTTCCTTGTGTTGGGCTAGAGATGTTGATGGTAGGGTCCTGAGCACGAAAACAGGATCTACTTCTCAGGGTTTAGGGGTTTAGGGTTTAGAGTTTAGGGGTTTAGGTTTAGGGGAAGTTTCTTATTTTGGGTAGCCGTTTTAATGGTAGGATCTCGACTACAAACGCAAGCTTTGTGTCCAGGTGCAGGGTTTGGGGTTAAGGGCCTGAACTTGTGGGAGCCCTGGCAGAACAACACAAAGGGTGTATATAGAACCGAGTAATCCCCCATTTTCCCCGGTACCCCAAACCCTAAGCCCCGCCCCAAGCCCAAACCGTAAACCTCGAACCCCGAAGCAATGAGGAGCGCTGGCTTCAAGTGGTGCGGCTGTTCCAGCTCATGGGGCGAAATCTCCTTGAGGCCGCCACGGCAGTTTAAGGGTTTAGGGTTTAGTTCAGGGTTTCGGGTTTCGGGTTTGAGGGTTTAGGGTTTAGTTTAGGGCTTAGGGTTTTCAGGGTTTAAGGGTTTAGGGCTTAGTTTCGGGTTTAGGGGTTAAGGGTTTAGGGGTTACATTACGGGTTTTTGTTGCTATGGCCGTTCGCGCGTGTCTGCCGCCAGCCCAAAAAGGGTTCCCGCATTAGCTTAGAGAGCTGGCTACATTAACCCTAAACCCTAAACCCTAAACCCTAAACCCTAAACCCTTAAAGTGGAGTCCAAGGGCAGTGTGGTCTTGTGCGAGTTCCTTGGGGAAGTACCTCTGGTTTAGGGTTTTTAGGCTTTCGGGGGTTTAGGCTTTCGGGGGTTTAGGGTTTAGGGTTTAGGGTTTAGGGTTTAGGGTTTAGGGTTCAGGGGTTAAGGGGACCTCAAAAGTAGAAATTCCAAACGAGGCCCAGTCTTAAGCCGTGTGAGAGTGGGATACTTGTTTGGGGAGAGGTTCAGTTCATCCTGTACGGGGTCTGGGTAAACTGACCTGCCTAACTGATCACGGTAATAGAGGGGCCTTAATAATTGCCATCGCATTTTGGGGTCTTTTAGACTATAATTGTAAAAACCCTAAACCCTAAACCCTCAATAAGGAACCCCCAAAACCCTATTCTAATTATTCAGGCCCCTACGGTATGAGGATACCCTGGGGTTCCCCAAGAAAAATACGGGTTGAAGCCTCCCCCGCCTCAAAGCATACAAGAAGCAAAGTATTCTAGTTGGGACGGTCCCGAAACTACAACCCTAAGCCTAAATCAGGAAACCTTGTAGAATCTTCTGAAGTCATTCAAGGAATGATTATCAGAGGAACCCAGTTCGCCCTATTCTTAATACCAAGGCCCGCATCATATCACCGCCGCTACTTGTGCTCCTTTCCCTAGAGCATGCTATCCTAGATGCGAAGTTAGAGGGCACAGGGTTCGGGCTTTAGGATTTAGGGTTCAGGGCTTCGGGCTTAGAGCGCAGGGTTTAGGCTTTAAGGTTTAGGGCTTAGAGTTTAGGGTTTAGGGTTTCAGGTTTAGGGAGTAGGCTGTAGGGATTAGGGTTTCAGGTGCAGGGTTTAGGGTTAGGTTTATTCAGGGCTGCCTGGTGAATCGAAGCTCAACGTGGCTTTGTCATGCGAGGAAGGACCCTAAACCCCAAACCCTAAACCCTAAACTGAGGGACTGAGCCGGTAACCTCTAACCTTTTGGCTTTCCTACCCTGAGGGTCCATGTACCCAGGTTTAGGGTTTAGGGTTTAGGGTTCAGGGATGATAGTGTATATTGTCCCCATATAGGTACCTAGTACTTAGTGGCCAAAGTATTTACGATGTGGGTATATGGACCCTTAGGGCTATATAATCCTACTAGACTCGACGAGCCTAACCTTTTTTTGGGCTAGGGTACAGCCCCTCAAGGCCTTAAGGTGATGATAGCGTCTAGAGTCTAGGTGATTGGGGCTTTGCGATTCGGGTTCTCGGAGGTAGGCTTATCATTTCCCAAAGCCGGTGAGGCGTCGACCCTGAACAAGGCACCAAAAACCCCAAGGGTCCAAAGGACCCCGTAATTGGGTACTTTGTTTACGGAGAGTATTCAGCTTAATATTTGAGAGAGTATATGATCATTAGGTACTTGGACCCTGGGGAAAACCCTAAGCCGCAAAAGCCTGAAACTCGGGCGCCTTGGAATTGACGTCCCAGAGTTGGAAACCCAATAGACTCAATCCTTAAGAGTAATGCATAGGGAATCCCAGCACTATTTGTCCCTAATCCGGTTTCCAACTTTTTGGGGTTTACCAGTTTACCATAAGCCCTACATGCACAGGTCACGGAAGCTCCAGCGGGGAGTGACACGGCTTCATTGCTTAGAGGGTCAGAAAGAAGCAAGGAGGACATATAGGGTTTCTACAGCTGGCCGGCTCACACACACCCCACCCCAACGCCGAATGCACAAACCCTGACTGATTTCTGGATTCAGGGTTTAGGGTTGGCCTCTTTGTTCTCAGAACTTGTCGGAGGGTCGGTTATTATTATTATTATTGGTATTGTTATTATCATTATTATTATTATTAGTAGTAGTATTGCTGGTACTATTTCTGTTGCTGTTATTATTATTATTGTTACTATTGCTACTACTAGGATTAGGGGTACTGGACTCAAGTCTGGTGACTCAGTGCTGAAGAGCCTACAGGCGGACATAGGACGTAGGCCTTACGGCCTGCGGGGGTGTGGGATGACCTGATTCTTAGGGGCCCCCAGTCGGTTTAGGGTTTAGGGTTTAGGGGTTTAGGGTTTAGGGTTTAGGGTTTAGGGCTGCTGCAGAAATACAAAGCCGGAATTATTGCCGACGTGAGTGAATCTTTCAACACTCCTCAAAACATACCTGGACCCGTAAATGTGGCACTGTTGTTTTGGTTACCTTAGTTTCTGAGTATGGGATCCTAACCATAAAATTAGTGATCCAAAAGAAGTCCTAAATTTAAGGGCACCAAGCTAGGAGACCTTAATGCTCAGGCATCGTGGCTTGTCATGTCAGCTCCCCTGACGGTGCTGAGCTGGGTGTTGAAAGGCGGAAAACTCATGTGTTAGCTCTGTGGCTTTTGTTCAGTATGGGTTCTGGGGTTGTGTTAAAGGGTGTTTTGCATGCCCCCTATATCAACATTCCGCACCAACATCACAATCGAACGCCGACTTCCATTTTTGATCGAAGGTCTGTATATGATTTAGACAGTACCCTAAACCCTGAACCCTAAACCGGGTTGAGAGAAGGACAAAGCGGATTCAGGAATCAGGGCGGAGTGATGATGTCATGTGCTGCGTGGCGACACCCCAAGCTCTAAGAGTCCTTTAGAAGCTTCGACTTCTTGACGGAATAGCCGACGGCAAGCTGCAGAGATCTGATTCGGAAAAGGGCTTAAATCCCGAAACTAGTAAGTCCGAAATGCAGCATGCTACCACAAGCTCTGGCCCCCTAAACCCTAAACCCTCAAACCCCAAAACAGACTTTTCCAGCCTCCATGACACCATGGTGCAAACCAGGGCTTGGCTTTTCGTTTCGCATCCCCCGAAGTACCCAGATCTTCCAGAATCCCTTAAGGAATATACCTTAAGCTCTATTCGGGATCCCACTATAACTTATATGGCATATCCCTGAAGGAATATACTTAAACATATAGTAGGGTACCGTTAAGGAATATGTGCCTCAACTTATAGCAGGATCCCGGATGCAGTTGAAGGTATGTTCCTTCAGGGATTTTGGAAGATCTGGGTAGGTACCGAGGATCTTTTCGAGTCGCACGCATGTCCTAAACTGTAGACCATGAAGCCATAAAGGGCCTTCGACCGTGAACTTTGGGATTTAGGGGTTTGGGGCTTAGGGGTTTCGGATTTGGGGTTCAGGGTTTAGGGGTTGGGTTTATAGGATTTAGTGGTGACTAAACCCCCCAATCCTGAAATGTACGGCCGAGGGTCTAGAAAGTCGAGCCCCTCATGTGGCACCCTGTGCTACTAAAGGTTCTTTATTTAATTATAGGAGCCGCCACCAAGGAGGGATCTACTTCCCGGGTTCAGGGAACACCCTAAACCCTGCACTCTAAATCCTACACCCTAAACCCTAAGCCCCTAAATCCTAAACCCCTAAGCCCTAAATCCTGAACCCTATTTTCAATCCTAAACCCAAAACCCCTAAACCCTAAACTCTAAATCCTAAGCCCTAAACCCAAAACCCCTTAACTTTAAACCCTAAACCCTAAACTCTGAACCCTAAACCCCTAAACCCTAAACCCTAAACCCTAAACCCGTAAACTGACTCTAAATCCTAACACCTAAACCCTAAACCCCTAAACCCTGAACCCTAAACCCCTAAACCCTGAAACCCTCAAACCCCAGACCCTGAACCGTAGACCCTCGACACTAAATCTCTGAACCCCTAAAACCCTTAACCCCTAAAGCCTGAAACCCCTAAAGCCTTAAACCCCCTAAAGCCCCTAGAGAGCCCAATGAGCTCTAGCCCATACGGACCCACGGCTCCGGAGGTTTCTGACTCTCTCCGGTGCCGAAAATGGGCCCAACTTTGAGACGCCCTACAGCAGCCAGGCCAAGCTTCGTGGCCTCAGATTTGGGGGCCCTTTAAGGGCTTAGGGCTTTAGGGCTTTAGGGTTTAGGGTTTAGGGTTTAGGGTTTAGGGTTTAGGGCTTAGGGTTTAGGGTTTAGGGTTTAGGGTTTAGGGCTTAGGGCTTAGTGTTCAGGGTTTGGGGTTTAGGTTGTAGGGGGTTCAGGGTTCAGGGTTTTAGGGTTAAGGACTCAGGGCTTAGTGTTCAGGGTTTGGGGTTTAGGTTTTAGGGGGTTCAGGGTTCAGGGTTTTAGGGTTAAGGACTCAGGGCTTAGTGTTCAGGGTTTGGGGTTTAGGTTGTAGGGGGTTTAGGGTTCAGGGTT